GCATGAAAATTTTTTTGTATCGAAAAAATATCGAACCGTGACACCAAAGTATCGAACCGAACCGAACCGTGAATTTTGTGTATCGTTGCACCCCTATTAAAAAAGTTAAGTTCATTGGTATTATAATGTAAACCTCTCTTGTTTACTGTAGATTTAAAATATATTGGTAATGGGTTGTGTTTCTTGCCCTTAGGTAAGCATTTAATTAATGCCACTGTTAAAATAATTCAGTTACAATTGGAGTTTTGTTAATGATTGGCCTATTATGAAATTATACTAATACTTACTTTTAACCTTGATATCATTCACTCAAGCAGAAAATACATTTCTCTTTATCAAATGACCACAAATAAGAGGAAATTGCAAAAACTTAGGTTAAATAAGACAAAACATCTGGGTTAGCTTAACTACATGTGGCAAAGCCATGCTTGCGAGCATAATGGGAAGCCAGAAACAACCCTGATTATTTAAGATGGTGTGAAACCCAACATTGATAAAAGATATCTTATAAAACCGGACGTACACAGTATGTCTGTTCATATTCTTGCATTTGTTAGATTAATATTATTGTTTATTACACTATATTGGCTATAGGATCATTTTGAATTATTGACCCTCAAGTTCCATACTGGTGCATTGTTGTATAAAACTACATAAATGCAATGAAGGGACTTGCGTTTTGGTTAAAATGAACAGATGTAAATAAAAACTGAGCAGCTGGTGATACTGAAATCCTAGGTCCATATAGTGTGTGTCTTAACTAGTAGGCCACCAGATGTCCTTTAACAAAGACAAACGTTGTTAACATTTTTTAATGCGCTTCTGCAGATGCAGGCACTTTGCGCTGCACTTGCATTTATTTATGTAGTATAATCAGCTGCTTGTGGTTGCTTCTGGAGTTGGAGTCTTTGACAGAAAGTGGTTTGTCTTCTACTCGGGGGGTGATTTGGTTGGTAGTGTGATGCTCTAACTTCCTGGCTGCTGGATGTACTGTTGTTGTATATTCAGCTAAACAGGAAGGTTGCCTCAACTGGCTGTGTGACATCATGTCAGAGTGGCAAACCAGGGAGACAGAAACTAGCCCAGGCCAGCCTCTCAGCTGAGGCTTGCAAATGCTGACCTAAGCTGACCCAGGAAATAATGCTGCAGGTCATCATAAGGAGGACTGGAGTTCCTTCTATTTTTTAAATACCTGATTGTATTACGCTAATGAAAAGTAAGCTCTGTTACTTACTGATTATAGTAACAATATTGGCAACTGGACCTTGTTTTCACTCATCTTAAAATGAGATTTTGTCCCTCATTGCTTTATTTGAAATCTTTAACAATGGGGCTCTTGTTTTTTCATTTTAGCCTTTCCGCAGTTCATCCAGTCGTTCCACCATTTGTCATTTTAGCTACTGGAAAAAACAGAAGTGCCATCCTCTGTTCTGGTTGCACATTTTCCTTGAAGATTTTGCCCCCATTGTGAGGCAAAATTGCATAGTGAACACAAGGCTTATAGAGAACAAAATTAAATGTGGATATTGTCATTATACTAAACCATTAAAATTCTGTGGTCTGTTTTGTATGTCTGAAAAATAAAACCACCCTTTTACGTATTGCATTGCTAACTGGGCCTCACTGGGTCCTTGTGTGTCAGTCTCACTGAGCATCTCTACATGAAGCTACAAAAATGACAAGAATCTACTGTCCTCATTAAAATAGAGGACATTTTTGAGACTCTTGTATAGCTGTTACAAAAACAGTCTTGCAGAATGTGTCCTGCAGATGGTATTGCTTTCAAGGAGCTCTTAGCGTTATGTCTTAGTTCAGAGAGACATGGGTGGAGAGAATCAGGATAGAACCTGATTTTGGTTCTATCCTGGTTTTGGTTTTGGTTGAAAATAAGATGTATGAGCCACATCGTGTTGTGATTCAAGGGACGAGCTGGAGGGACAGTAGGTCATGTGAGTGTTGAAAATAAAAATACCACCTTTTTCCATAATGTGAATAACAAAAGAACAAGTAATGTGTGCACAATGTGAGCAGAGTGTCTGTTATTACGTCTCTAAAACAGTGTTATTAATGCCCGTTATCCCAGGTAGTAAAGAGTACCTTAAAGACACATACGTCTTCTTAGTGTCTTGCAACATCAACAACTAAATCAATGTTCAAGAGACCCAGAAGGTTGGTGGGTTACATTAAATCACCGTGCAAAGGAACATACATGCTGGACTTAAAAAGGGCAACGCCCAAGTAGATTCACTGATTAACTTTGTGTGCTAGATCACTCCAATCAGCAGTGAGTGTAGACAGGAAGCAGAGTGATTGGCACTTAGGTCGTTGGGCCATTCACAGTTGAGGGAGGGACAGCACAGCAGAATCTACGTTGGGTCAAAAAACTCATCATTGAAAAAAAAAGTTTTTCCAGTTCATTTTAAGAAGTTAATGCATAAAAAGATTATTTGTGCACCTAAAACTTGGCCAAAGAATGAAAACCACTTTTCATGTTGCACAGCTCCACAATAAACTGAAATGTTAAGTCATCAAAAAGTTACCCCACACTGAGATTCCAAGACAATCCTTCCTTTGCATTTTTTTAAATTTCAGTTACATGAGGGTATACATAGGTTTACACTACAAAGGTACCATAACCTCCTAGGACCTGGCGTCCACATATGTGGACATCACATTTTTGGTTATTTAGACCCAAATACTAAATTTTGCTCTACAAGGGCCTGATATCCGTTCTATTGAAATTTTAAACAAATATCCTAATTTGTGGCTCTCATTTTTCTTAGAAATGAAAATTTGGTTAAAAAAATAAATTAAAAAAATCTGGTAATTCTTTGTTTTTACATTCATCGGGGCCCAATATGCCCAAATATCAAAGATAAATTAAAAATGCATGCTGTGGAAGAGTTCGGGTCTTAGGAGGTTAAGTACTTAAATATTATTATTAGTTTTAACGAAAGCTGCTTCATGGTTGGCCTTTTCCACTTCAAATGTAAAAATAGACATTTACATTCTGTTATTATTAACCCAGGTGTCAGTAGAATTGGGGCCCTGTTTTATTCTTGGACATATTTTATGAGCTGTATTGAAGATGAAAAATATTTTAGTGAAACAATTGAGGGTAAACCAGCACAGAGTGACTAAATTTAATCTGAATGTTTTATATTTCGACCGTGATGTCTTTCAGGTCTTTGGATGGACGTCTGCAGGTTTCCCACAGAAAAGGTCTTCCTCATGTGATCTACTGCCGCTTGTGGCGCTGGCCGGATCTGCAGTCCCACCATGAACTCAGAGCTGCCGACCACTGTGAATTTGCCTTTCACACCAAGAAGGATGAAGTATGTGTCAACCCCTATCACTACCAGAGGGTGGAGACACCAAGTGAGTGTTCTTAATTGCTACGTGTTCCACATGATTGTAGTTAAATTAAAGCTTTCTCCAAACTGGGTACAGAACTGATCTGATCCACTGTCTCCAGTTTTGCCTCCCGTTCTAGTGCCACGACATACAGACATCCCTGCCGAGTTCCCACCACTGGATGACTACAGCCCATCCATCCCTGAAAACACCAATTTTCCCGCTGGCATTGAGCCCCAGAACAACTATATTCCTGGTGAGGGGAAAAAAAGCAAAAAACACATCCCACTCATTCTTGACTCGGTCTCTAAATTATTTTTCTCAGGGATGATTTAGTTTGTGGCTCATGCCCCAAAAATGTTGTTCCTGAGTGCAGTTTTTATATTATATTAAAATATTGTATTTGTGTAGTTGTATCACAGAAGCAGTTTAAACACGCAAAAGAACAATGATGTGTGCTTAACCCATGTGTTACAGAAACTCCCCCACCAGGGTACCTGAGTGAGGATGGTGAGACAAATGATCACCAGCTTAACCACAGCATGGACACAAGTGAGTCACCTGACTGTACACACACCTGAAGCTTATACTACTCTAATTACAGCTTATAATGGTCATGAACCCACCTTCTATTACCACTCTGTTTCAGGTTCACCCAGCCTGTCACCCAATCCTGTATCCCCTGCAAACAATAATCCTGGTAAGTAACATCAGTCAGTCAAGTTTACTCAGCTTTAGCTCCTGGACATATTTTAAGTTATGTGCGCCAATAGAAATTTCAGCCATTCATTTAAAATCCAGTGTTTAATCTGGATTTGAAGTTTTTTGCTTGTTAGGAAAAAGCTTATTACACCCTCCAAGATATATGTATATATAACAAAACTGAGCAGTAACAGAACTGCCCAATAGTGAATGGGGAAAAAAATGAAAAAAAAAAAATTAAAAAAAAAAAACTTTATAAATGGTTCTCCAGTTATTACGAAAGTCAAACCTGTAGTAATGATATCATTAAAAGTACAAGTGCTGTAATAGAATATTTGCACTTAATTCATGTGTTAGAGCCTGTCATCGCTAAAGTGTGTGTCATGCAACAGAGCCTATAAAACAAATTGAATGGTCAAAGCTATCATAATGATTTTGAGATGTGTTGCTTGATTCAAATTTGAGGAGCGCAAGGGATTTAACTGGGTTTTTTTCTCCATATGTTTGTCTGTATTTGGAATAGTAGAGATGAGAAGTTGGCAAAAGAGCCATTTAGTTTTCAAACTGTTAAAACGGTCAAAGTTCCTTAACTAGCATGGATGACAATAATTTAATTAGGCTTGCTTTTTTTCTCTTGAATTCACATGAAAACTGAATTTTTTCAAACACTAAGTGGTTTTTATTTATTTCTACAAGGTAACTACCCTTTTCTGATTTTCTTTATTTGGTTAGTGTAATTGGTCATATTTCAATATTTTTAGTCTGATCTCAACCTCTAAATGTAAAATGAACACTTATTGAATTTACTTCAAGAGGGCAATCGCCCCACATGAAAAAACACGGATGCATAATGACTTTATATAGTCTGAAATGGTCACTGTTGTATGAAAACTTGCCACAACTCTACTGTACACATGCTTGTGCTCACTCTTTAATACCTAAATAAATGCTGAAAGACACTGGCTGATAGACACTATCATCATGTACACCTGAACTGCAGATTATTAATTTATAATGGTAAAGAAGCATTTGCATCAGCGGTATGTAGTTATGCTCTATTGGCTGCTCCATTAATAGATGTAAATGGACACTGGGGCTGGGATCCTGGTGGCTCAGTTGGCTAACACACACAACAGTTTTTGGGGGGTTTTTTGGTCACAAGTGACCATATTTAGACAGCAACACCAACAAATGTGGCTAACAGGATGCTTCAATAAACTGTATGGGTGCAATACAATTCCAGTCACCACAACTGAAGCACAAACTTCGTGGACAGTCTGTACTACCGTGCAGGCCACTTTATCTGTCAGACAGTTCCATTGTCATCTTTCAAAAACTACACACACTACAATTACAGTCAAAAGGCACATTTCAGTAACTTAAATTAGAAGAGTCTAGCAGTCAGCTATAGTGGCTGTAATTGCTTTTATTGCCCTAGCTCTCACTCAATGTGGCTAAACACCTAATTTTAAAGTCTCCAAAAAAATTCACTATATAAGATATATTAAGAAAAAACATGTACACAAAATTTCGTCATTAGTACAGTTGTTAAGAAGGTGCAAGCTGGTGCACTTAAGGTGCACTTAACTTAGCTGTTAAGTGAAACATTTTCACATTGGAGTCCATCTCTCTTGTTGCAGCCATTGAAGCAACTGTATTTTATGACACTTCTGCATTGGATCAATGCATCACTTGCATTACTATCCTTGATTTTCTTGTTGGTTTGTTTATTTATTTGTGGAGAACATTATGTTATATATTTATTTATTTTGGGGGGGTTGGTGTTTTTGAATGTCTGTTTATGAGACTGATGAGCAATGTACGCACACACTTGAGTGAGTGGATCGTGTCTGGCTTAGCTTCAGGGCAGTAAGTATGGTATGAATGGAGTCTTTGTGTTTGCTCTGTTCTTATGTGTGGAAAAACCAGCTACATGCAGCTTTAAGATAATGCAGTAAATGTCTGCGTGGCGGGTTATTCTATGTGGAGACAAACTAGGAGGTCCTTGTTTTGTTTTGCTTTTTAAGAAAGGTATTTCATGTCTGGCTGAGGTTAAGAAGGTCATGGGAAAGAGCTTTTGGAGAGGAACCAAAGGAAACCTTGTCAGGACTTGGTCATGATGCTGCACCTTCAGCATCAATTTGATGATAGAGCTGTTCAACTATTTAATTCTTTCATCATAGAAATAGATTAAACCTGTAAATGTATCTTTGTCTTACCAGACTTTCAACCTGTGACATATTGTGAATCTGCCTTCTGGTGCTCCATCTCCTATTATGAGTTGAACCAGCGTGTTGGAGAGACCTTCCACGCTTCACAACCCTCCCTTACAGTAGATGGATTCACAGATCCCTCCAACTCCGAACGCTTCTGTCTGGGCTTGCTGTCAAACGTCAACCGCAACTCAGGAGTAGAACTCACACGCAGACACATAGGTATTAACTGTATTTCGAAGCGACGGCATAAATTTGTTCTGATTATATGTGAAGGTTGTTTTATGCTGAGCTAGCTTTTTTCTCTCTCCTCTTTTTCCAGGTCGGGGTGTGAGGTTATACTACATCGGGGGTGAGGTGTTTGCAGAATGTCTCAGTGATAGCGCCATCTTTGTCCAAAGCCCTAACTGCAACCAGCGCTATGGGTGGCATCCTGCCACTGTGTGCAAAATACCTCCAGGTCAGCACAACGTGCATACAAACACAAACTCATTAAAGGCAATATGACCAGAGTATGACTGTATAACTGTGTTCTTCTGCTCCTGACATTTATTTTATTCTCTGTGCTAGTAAACCTGATAATAAATATTTTGTTGCTAGGCTGCAACCTGAAGATCTTCAACAACCAGGAGTTTGCTGCGCTGCTCTCTCAGTCAGTCAACCAGGGATTTGAGGCAGTCTACCAACTTACCAGGATGTGTACTATTCGGATGAGTTTTGTTAAGGGTTGGGGAGCTGAGTACAGGTAAATATTTTACTATTTTTCTTATATTGCTTACAAAGTATAAGATATTGTTGCATTTGCTTATTATTTGACTGACAGTAAAGTAATACGTGAGAAGGACTGATGTCATGTTGTAGTGGCGTAAATGTGTAATATGGTGTTCTGAAATGGTAGAGGTTGTGTAGTGATTAAAATAAATGTCATTTTCTGGTTAGGTCATTTACAGGTAGTTAATAAATATCAGTGTACTAAATATTTTGGCTGGTAGATGGCCTGCTTAGAGGTCAGAAGACAAGTTAACATTTAACTGACCCAGCTAGTGAGTGGCTCGTATTACTCATGTCTTTCAAGTCTCTGCCGTGCATTTTTTTTCCTAAACGTGATGTGGAAACTTAAATTGTACACTGCATATACAATCAAATTGAGGTTCAGTGAGTCAACATTTTGTTTATTAGGCAGTAAAATGCTGGAAGAAAAGAATTTGTTCTGTTTGGGAAACATGCGGACAATTGAATCTATTGTAGAACTTATTACACAAATGAATGCACATTATTCCAAAGAGGTTGTTCAACATCTTCATTCATAATTGGAGAAGTGAGGAATAAAAGAAGAAAAACATGACTTTGGGTTGTTGACTGAAGCCGACTTTTAACAGGAAAAGAAGGTGATGGGGGATGGTGTAACTGTGACTCTGTAAGAGAGGAGGAAGAATGCAGCAGGCATGCAGTAGTGAGGGGGGTATGAAGTGGGGTGTGGACATATTTCTAACTGCCTCTGGAAGGGGGATTCCCACTGGACTATGAATGGTGCGTGTTGTATTTCTGGCACCAAACACCTTGGAGAAAAACATCCTCAGAGATACTTGAATGGCTTCAGAAATAGCCCAGAGCTGGCATCACTGTTCGGGAAATTCTTCCAAGAATATGGACTGTATAAGCTATAAGACAACAACCGTTATAATATAGTACAGAAGAAAAGGTCCAGCAATGACAGAAATGTGTGCTTTCCTTCTTTGTGTTCTGCAGACGTCAGACAGTGACCAGCACCCCCTGCTGGATAGAGCTACATCTTAATGGTCCCCTTCAGTGGTTGGACAAGGTCCTCACACAGATGGGCTCCCCCAGCATCCACTGCTCTAGTGTGTCCTAGGAGCAGCCCTCCTTCCCATCCACACTCAAACACCCCCATAGGAATCAATCCACAGAAACAGCATTTCCCCTGCTGTGTTTGACATTTCTCATCACATGTACAGCACTGTCTTTAGTGTCATTTAGTGTCTCAATTTCATGGTCATTGTAGGACATTTTTATGGGTTTTATTATTTTCAGAAGACAGAAGTGCATCTTCATGATTATTCTTTTACATATTATGTCCATCCTTCCTGTTAATTAACTTTACATTTCACAAAGGAGACTGAAATGTTTGTTTTCCAAGTTGGAAGATATGCAGTTTCAACTTGGCCATCGACATGTTTTAAAACATTTTTGATTCTATGAATTAATCAATATTATGAATAAGCCTTTAGTGTCCCAGCAATCACTGAATTGGGAAGCTTATTTAATAAAAAAAAACGATAAATTAACATGAGAAATGTTATTTATAGTGACAGAATATATTTCATTAATATTTTAAGTAGAAGGTACTTTCCTTTATTGATTTATGATCAATAAAGAAACCAATTATCTGATCAGTGAATTGGTATTTTGTCTAGCTTTAAAAAAAACAAACAGTATCAGTGTTTCTGATATAGAGCCCTTGTATTAAAAGTATTTTGCTCAATGAAAGAGACATTTTCTAAGTTATTTTTGCATATTGTCCTGCATGAGAATATATTTTTCTTATTGCCTAAATATGATTGTACATAAATATTTATAGCTTGTGTAATCTGCTAGTCATCCATTGCTTGAAAGAGTGGATCAAAGTGAACTCTGACATGGGTGGATTCATAGTAAGACTACTTAGATGAACTTTTCAGGTGAGTTGGTTCTGAAGTGTGGCACAGGAATACTGTACCAACCATTAGTGTTATTTGATAACAGGCTCGATGAGTCATTATAGTAGACTGACTGAATCTGGACACCATGTGACTTGAAGTATGAAGTGTACAGTGACCAAGGTTGTGTGAAAACAACAATGCAGGTCTTCTTATGTATTATCAATTGTTAACCAATGGTACACTATGCTCCTTATGGGTAAATGATGCATTTCAAGTTTATTGTGTCACTTTAATGGTTGTGGTAATTTGCTTGTCCACTAAATACTGTATATTACATGTACATTACAATATAAGGCATGTGTAATATGCTCACTGTCCTTGGTCGTTGTCTAAGACGTCACCATGTTAATCCTGCACTCACTCACAGTACATAAGACTGAGTCACCAAGCAATCTATTTAAAGGAGTTACATGGTGCTGAACGGAAACACTGTACTACACAGTACATTAGGTATGTGGTAGGTCTGTATCAGTACTTGAGTTCCTTGATATTCTTTTAGTGGTTTTATGATCCAAGTCTTATGTTTTTGTTTTTTAATGTAGACTAATATTTGTTCTCAAATGTCTAGAATTATCTGTGAAATTTTAATAAATTGCAAAACAGTAAAAAGAGGGCTGCTTCTCTGTAAAAGGAATTATGTATGAAATCTAAATGTAAAAAGAACAGTTGCCTCACAGCAGCTGGTGCATTCATTGTACCACTAAATTGACCCTTTCTGTGTTAGGGTGGCGACCTGTCTGGGGTACACTCTGCTTCTCATACATGACCCTGCACCAAGGAGTAAAGTTGCTTATTATACACCGTGACAAAAATTTGAAATTGATATACATAAAGCGGATAAGTGTCCTGTAATAAATGATATAATCAGGAAACCTGTAGAGGTGACGCGACACTCTTTTGCTAAACGGCATAGTGTTTGATGGTATGTATGTACAGTATAATATATTTTTAAATGTGCTTCTCTACTCATTAAGGCTTGATAAAAATATTAGAAACTCCCCACTGCGCTACATCTAAATTACTTATTTACTGCAGTTAATCGCAAAGCACAATACACATATCCTTTTATTTAAGTTGAATAGAGATTGTGAACCCATGTGAGTGTTCACAACAAATAAACCATACTCACTAAATATTAAAATCACAAGGTTTTGTGTTAATTTATTCCAGTGTGCATTATATGTCTTTTTAGGATAAGGCACATCATTTACCTTTAAAATATATGTATCAATGTACCTAATAACAAATACACAAACCACATACATTTCATGTCTTTCCCCACCTTTAACACCATCACGTGCTGAGGTTCACTTAGGGCTAAAGTATAGTGAAGAACCCAGGGGAGTAGATTGAGGATCAGGGCCACTCATTTGCTTTTCTTGCAATCAGGAAATCCCATCTGTTTTTTCAATACATCATTTCATGTTAAGAATCCACAGTTTCTAAATATACTAATGCCTACAGTGCCATCTGTAAGCATCTCCACTTTCCAAGTGCAAGCAGGATGTCACGGGATGCTGAATCTTGTGGAAGCCCCAAGAAAAACAGGAGGATCAGGTGAAAGGAGTCCAAGTTACAGCCAGCTACTTTTAGCTTTCTTCTCCCGATGATAACCCATCTATCTCATCTTCATCACCACCGATGGCCATCCAAAATGCTTTTGCCACCTAGAAAGCAGATTGTGGGTAAACAGATCATGTATTGAACTAATTAAGGGTTAAATTAAAACACTAAAGAAAAAAAAAAAAACTTACCTTTTCTGCGTGAACTTTTCTCTGCTCGTGGGGTAATGAAGAAGCTTTGTCTGTAGGTTTAAAATAGAGAAAACCAAAATCATCAGTCAGCCACAATGACATCAGGTGCACTGGCATCCAAATATTTGAGCACTCCTGATGAAAAGTTGATTTGTTGTTTTTTGTTTGTTTGTTTCTGAAACCTTGAATGCAAGACTAGAGTTTTTGTGCAATGTAAGTATTCCAAAATCTTAGTAATCTCAGAAATCCTGAAGGTAACTAGCTTGTCTGTGCTTTGGCTTGTTCATAGTAATTGTTCTGGAAACTTGGGCAATGCACATTTCAAGACTTGCATACATATTCTGACTCCTAAAATATTATTCCTACAATAATCAGCCATTGAGACCTCTACTAAGTAAGAGCGCCTTGTCTTTTGAAGATTAAAAATTTTATGCCCACAATTCAGGATATTGCTTTAAGAAGGCCTTTACTCAGCTGGAACTGGAATTAATGGAACTGATTTACTGTACTTAAAAAGAAAGGAGGGACATCAAAGTGATGTCTGGAAAACAAAGCAAAAAAAACAACAAAAAACTTTAAGAGATCTAATCATAGGATTGCTAGAATCAAAACCCTGTGATGAAAACAAAGGAACTTCAGGAAAATTGAGCAGACTGTGCTTTAATCTACTTGTACAACCACGACCTTCGTGGAAGAGATAATTAAAAGCATCAGAAGTTTTCAAATGAACATCTAAATAAACCTAATGATCTCTTTAACTGTTAAGCATATGGGTGGATGGCTTGTGTTACAGCCACTGGCACAAGATAGAGGAAGGATGGATTCAATTATACACCACAAATTCTGCACTGCAGTATCTGCAAACAAAAAGCTCAAGATAAAAAAAAGATGATGTTGTTTAACAACATGTTAACAATCCGAAAAACACCTCAAAATCCAACAACAACTACTGAGTGACGAACACTGAAGATTTGTCAGTGGTTCTTGAAATTTCCTGAGCTAAACATCTTCAACAGTTGATGGAGTTTAAAGAAGCTGTGCAGGCCAGAACAAAGATCTGACAAAACTGAAAGATGTTTGCAAAGAAAGGGTGAAAATCCAACAAACAAGAATGGTAAGATGTGTTGCTTACAAAGTACTGACCATGGGGGCTTAAACTTTTTATCATGATTACTTTAACTAATAAAAAGAAAGTGATTATCTGAAATGCATCAAACTATTTTGAAAATATAATGAAAAACAAAAGCTAAATACATCAAAGATGCTCACTTAGCTATTCAAAGTAAACTCTATAGAAAATATTTAACCTCCACAGGGACAACATACCTTTAAATAAAAAAAAAAAGAAAGAAAGAAAGAAAGAAAGAAAAAACAAGATTTGCATATCTTTTTTAAAATTCTCCCATTTACCTTTCATCTCCTTTAATTTGGTAAAAAGCCGTTCAAAGTTATCAACATCTACATCTCCAGTTGTGAGGTTAGCGAGCTCCTGAATGTCCAAATCAGTCATTGCATCTGAGGGAGATCAAAAAAATGTATGTTTATACACATAACTAACAGTGCCAGCAGCAGTATTTTGAGGAATCTGAGAAAAATTGATTCACGACTTAGTAAAGAAAATTCTATCACAAGGCATTCGCTTACCAACTACTGCCTCTTCCTGTGTGTCTGTATTTGTAGTACTTTCTGTATGGTTAGGCTCCTCATTGTTAACGGTGCCCTCTACTGGTAAGCTGGAAGACTACCAAAAAAAATAAAACAGCTTGGATCAGCATGCCTCCACAAAAACGACTTTAAAAAAACATAAATTTAAATTGTATTGATTCAAGCAAGCAAGAAAATGCATGAAAAAATACTGTTAAAACCTAAATAAATCGATCATTATCAAAAAAGGAAAACTCCACTGACTGGTGGATCTTGGCAGGTGCGTGGGTTGTTATGTCTGGAAGCCACCAAACTGCTCATCAGACCAAAGCCCTGATTGTGCCCTGTTAGAGATGTAAACTGTCACATGCCATACATGCATACACAGAGTATGTAGTAGTTAAATCAAAGGTTATGTCATCTTACCATCCTTCATTTCCACGCTGGACCACACATTTGCATTGAGAGCCTGAACAATTCTCTTTACACCTGTGGATTCTGGAAAGTCGTCTGATAGAGAAAACAGAATAGTGTGAATGCGGGTGAAAATATTATCAAAACACAAAGAATTGAGATATAAATCTGGGTGATGTCACTGCTCATTTCTCCCATTTGAGAAACTCACCATCCTCATCTGGGAGCTCCTGAGGATTGAGTTCTACGAGCTCAAATGCATGAGCCAAACACCACTGCTGCGCTTCATGTCTGGTGACTCCTACAACATAAATTAGAAGTTGTATCCCCCACGACTTGTATGTAAGACAGTGTTTTCTGCAAGCCACATGCAGAGCAAAAAAACTGACCATGTTCATAGACTCTGTCACAGACCAGGATGAGCACCTCTGGCGCAAGATCTTCCACTACCGGGATCCAAGGTTGTAGCTTTTGCAGCCCATCTTTCTGCAAACATAATGGATGATATAAAGGCATGAAGAAACGTGCTGTTTAGACTTATAAATATAACTTCTTATGTCACATACCGCTTTGCTGTCAAAATAAGCGATGAAAGCTTGCATGGACTGGGCAATCTCTGACGACATGTGAAAAGTGCTTGATACAACACAGAGACTGACATCTGCCGTATAATACTTGTTGTTGATGGTCCAAGGGTACCAGACCACTGTTTCCTCTCGCTTTGTCGGCTCGGGTAAAGTCTTCGTACTGAGGATTTCTGAGACAAAAACAAATCTGTTGATCTACACGAACAAAGACGTCAAGCTAAGCTTCTCACGGTGAAAGCTCAAGCAACAGGAATAGCATTAACCTTAATTAGCATGACCATATCGCTTGTATATCAGCCTGGCGAAAGTAAAGGACATAAAATGGCTTAGACGCCTTGAAGAAATTCGCTATTAACCCGAGAAAAAGACATAAAAGGGCTTCCAGATGCTATCGCTTAGTTAGCTCTGTTTAACGTTAGCTTCCTTACTATTATGTTATTTTCACCTTAACTTACGTTTGATTAGTTCTTCTTCTTTAAACTCGCTGTCACAGCTAGTGACAAGCACACACGGGGTGGCTATTTCTGTGTTTTCTTCTGAAGCTGACATTTTAATTATAAATTGGAGAGAAAGCTTCTTCAGCTATTAGCTTAGCGTTACGATGGAAAACTTGGGAGACCTTTCAACTCTGACCGGCCTCTTCCGGTGCACGTTAAACAGTCTTGTGACGTTTAATTGTAAAAATATTTTTCGATCCATCATTGAAACTAAGTAATAATAAAAATAATAATAATGATGATGATGATAATGATAATTATTTAAAAAGCAAAATCAAAAAATTGCACTCTGCGTTTATGTGAAGTGGAGGGACACTGTGAACAAATCTAACATCAGCTGATATGTTTTAGAAGGTGATTAAAGTAAAGGCCATGGTTATGTGGCAATGGGATAGGAGCATTGGGATAAACAATTATTTACTTAGACGTGACCCTTATATGCCTGACTGTCAAACTCCAGGAAGAAATGAGCTGCACGGTGTCTCGTCGTCAAGGTTACGTGTAGCGAATCAGAAACTTTCACTGGTGACAAGCTAATTGTTTCGCTAACAGTGGGTAACTCAATGACTGTAGAAAAGTCATTGGGGTAACTAGTACAGTTCGCCATTGTGCTATATATATTTCAGTTACAAACCCATAAATAATGATGAAAAAAAATGTCCGAAGTGGTTAAAAAGGAAGACAAGTCGGGAGCTGTTTCGGTTCGGGTAAAGTTTCCTTGACTTATCTTGCCTTTCGCTAAATCATCAAACTCGTGTATGCTGTTTTTAGGTCATTTTCTGGAGTATTTACATTTTATGACTGTATTGCAGGTGGAAGACGATTTAAGACAACTCAAACCTAGTCTTGAGAAAGTGACTGTCAGTGAGGGGAGGACAACACTGAACACTCAGGCCCTGGACATCAGGGTGAGAAATCTTCACGCACAGTAGCATTTATATTAAATAAAGAGACTTAAGTGAAACACAGTACACGTAAGAACCGACAGTTAATAAGTTCTTGACTGTCTGTAGAAACATGCAGAGGATTGTTTGAAAACAGTGAATAAGCAGCAGCTGGTTCTTCCTCCCATTGAAGATTTACAAAAAAAGACTATTTCTAAATGGTAAGTAGTATTTTTAGTAGGAATATT